CAGTTAAAATTGCTTTAGCTTGTCCTAGCTCATCTACCCTATTAGATGTTTCAAGAATTTGCTCCATGTGTGTGACTGTAACATTAATATCCTGACAGACTGCTTCTAATGCACGCAGCTTGGAAGAAACCCACCTAATTGCCTTAATTTCAGTGTGCATCTTTAAGCTTTCATCAAGAAAAGAAGCAAGCTTTTTTCAATTCTTCTCTCCTCTTGGAGAAAAAGAATAAAATTTACAGATTCTCTTAAGAGTTTCCTCAAATTTTTTCAAAATACCCCACTTGCTTAACTGCATCTAAGACACCTAGTTCAAGTTTATGTGCCACACAGTGTGTTACAATAACATTGTTATCAACTGCATCACTCAGCTTTTTTGCAACACCATTCTTTGCACCTAAATTAACTGCAGCTCCATCAAGATTTACACACACCAATTTTGAATTTTCATTAGACAGATTATCAATATCAATGTTGCACTTCAATAAACCCCTTTTAATAGCATCAACAACACCGTCAGCCCTTGCATTTTCTAGATTCTCAATACTGGCAATGGATGTAACCGGCTCATATGTTTCAGGGTGTACATAGCGTAACAAAATGCCTTCCTGATCTATTACAGAAGAGTCAGTGCTTGAGTCACTCATGATAGAAAAGTACCTAACATTTTTTAAGTTTGCTTTTGTTTCATTTAATAGTACATTTGAAATGGAATTCTGGAATACTACACAGGTATCTCTAGATAAGTGGTCATTTCCTAATTCAGCCCCATTTTTCTTCTGCACTTCACAGAGAAAAGGATAGTCACTGTAAGGGCGATTGTGGTTTATAACAGCATAAGCAGTATTAAACAGCTTTTGGTATCTCTCTATTTCATGCATTTCAACTTTAGATATAGACTTTTGTATGGGTCCTTGTTTACTTGGTTTTTGCTTGAACTCGGACTTGGACACACATGAAACATGTTTAGATGATATTTGATGAGATGAAAGAGTGTCCTTTCTAAGTAATGTGGCGGCAGACTTCCCTACGTACAGGGCCGAGGTCGTATCCGCCGTTTGCGGGAACATTCTACAAATATGACAAAAAAGTTTGTCCGAATGATCTTCCTTTCTTAGCCAAGAAAAATCGTTAAACCAGCTATCTTTAAACACACTCATGCGTTTACGGTCATATTCCTTGTCTCTTTGGGCTTTAGATTTACGCTTTTCTGGTTCTTTGGGTGTTTCAGGCAGCTTTGCACCACCAGAACGAACGACAAATTTGTCCATTTCGTACTAAAATAACTTTACAACGCGACCTTCACAATGGGCATTATTTACTAAAGCACCGGTTGGTTGCCTCGTTACGACCTATTCCAAGAATAGCGAGAGGCCTCATACGGGGGAAAATAGCATTTATTTACATCGATTTATTCATGCTGCGGGAGGTAGTTTATAATTTAATTTTACGCATATTAAATACGGATTAAACATTATTGGGATAAAAATTAACGTTCGTTATCAATTTTATGTAAGAATTTTGGCATTTTGCTTTAATTTTCTGGCTCAGAAATTCACTTGCCCGCGGACAACCGCTACGTGAAAATCTACTTGTCCGCCGGCAAAAAGTCCCGAGTCGGGCAAAGTAATTCCGCACCCCTGGTCTTGGGGTAGTCTTGGGGTGTCTTGGGGTAAATAGAATGACCGCCCTGCTGGCTGCAGTAATTGAATTTACTGGCCCAAATTTCAGTTTTGAATTTATTCTATTATATTTTCAACTAAATTTTCTTAAGATCTACACTGGTCCGAATTAATTTTCACTGACCATGGGCCTCCGGGCCAGTGCTATAAAACTATTCGATGACCGACCCTGTGACAATAGGAATCCGATTGGTGTCTGGACATAATTACACCTCCTGGACGTCTCTGAAATCATCCGATTGTCGATCATTCACTATTTTGCAAAAGTGGCACCACCTATACACATGACAGATTTAACTTATTTTCATTGATTGTGATTGAGTGTGAAATTTTATATCCAACAATGATTTTATACCATAGGGGAGTGATTCATGTGATTTTCATTGTTAAAAATTAACGAAAACACATTGACAGGGGACCGCATTGACAGGAATGGCCAGCTGACATGTTTTATTCGGCTATTTTCAATCTTAACTAATTTTAACGACATTTTGATTCGATAAACGGGAACCCGGGCATTTATGAGTAATGTATTTTAATCTTTTAAAACAAATCGCTATGGGCGAAGGCGAACAAAGTCCGGGTCGCCATAAAATTGATCACTATCACACAGAGAAATCAATTACTTCAAGAAAACATTATTTATCTAAAATATTATTTTATTTGCCAGATGTTTAAACTTCAAATACTTTCAGAAATACGTCTTAACTTATGAATTTTTTAAATAAAACTAATGGAAAATAACCCACGTTGGTCTGCCATTTTGTTCTTCGTCGTCTCCTACTAATCACGTGACCAGAAAGACGCGGGCGTTCAATAATCAGGTATAGACCACTAAATTTTCTCTACCGAGTAGTTAGTTCATATGATTTCGGGACTTTTCACTTTGTTTCGGCGTCAAAACCTTCTAGTCTTTTCGACATCTTTTACAAATTTGTAAAGATGATATGTTTTTTTCTCTGTTTCTTTGTTAATTTGCTCCAATAACAATATCTTTAAACCAACAGACACTAAAATTTTGCAAGCGCCGTCTAATAACAGAAATATGTTGTTTAAAAAGGGAATAAACGAGGTAGGCCTATTCAACGCGAAATGTGTTAATCACATTCCACTGATTAAAATCCACATATATCTATAGACTTATAATGATTTTTCATAGCTAATGATAATACATACAATCAAGACACAATTTTATCTATATAATGAGACAAAACATTATACACAACCAACCATAAAGTAAATCCCGTTTAAATTAATACATTTTCAAGTACAACAATCAACATCAACACGTAAAACATTATCACATAATTAAGTTACAAAGCAATTCAGTAATATATAAAAAAAAATATTCATTTTTTTTTCATTTTCATTAATTAATAAAAGTTTAACTTTCGTTGCTAATATTTGAATATTTTCAACTGACCTAATTGCTGTATGACAAAGAATTCCAGTCTTTTCGGCATAGTAGAAAAACATGTGTGTGACATGAGTAACATTTTGTGGGAAAAAATAATTTACTTCTTGGACCTTACTAAAGACCTTTAATAACAATAAATAACAAACACCCACATAGTTCATCTTTAAATAGTAGTAGGCAAAATGTATGTCTAGCTGTACACATTTTATACAAATAATTTCTGTGTTCAATTAATCAAGTAAATGTTTAATGTTAATGTATATAATTTAACATTACTATAGAGAAACCCTGTCAAATCTAATAAAAATTTAATAATGACAATGCATAAGCTTTAAGGACAAAGCAGGTAACATGTATCTTAAACACAAAGAGGCATTCATGCAAAATAAATAATACACTTCATGCATAGACTGACACAAAAACAAAACAAATAAACACATATCCATACACTTGAACTCTCGATCTTACTTCAGACTGATGACTCGCTTATTTAACAAAAATAAGAAAGCAACTGCTTCTGATTACAATTTCAAAACAAAGTTAATTTAACTCCAACACTCCCTCGATATGAAGTACATTCTCCATCAGTGTGTAAAAAGGTTCACATTTATGTGCATTTCCAATTAGAAATAATAATTAAACAATATAATAACTTTGCACATACAAAAGGATAAAATCAAGCAAAGCAAAACAATAAACTCAAAATCAAATATTTAAATTGCAAAGCAACATTATTAATGGGTTGAGTGGGCGGGTTTTCTTGAACTTGACTAGTAGTACAAAATTGGCGCGACAATAATCAGAAAATAAACGACCAATCAGAAAACAGTTCACCAAAGTCACGGTTTACTCGAAATAATTAATTATTTTAGCTTTAAAATATATCAATTACTAGATCTCAAATTGTTTTCTCTAACTACCGTTAACAAATTCTTTATATAAGAAGGGCTTTTCTTTTAGTACATTTTATGACTGAGGTTAAATTTTGACTGGAAAACTCTATTGCTGACATTTAACATTTTAAGATCAGACAGAACATTAGCTTGCATAGAAGTCTTTTTGGTATAGTTTTAATTTTGTATAATTTTCTAAAGATTTAGATTGGGGACAAAAGGGACAAAATAGTATCCGTATACCTTGGACATCATTTACAGTGTATAAATTCACACACAACCTATTTCATATAATTCATTTCAGTTTGAATTGGCGAGATAAGGCAACAGTAAGTTCTTTTTCAAACCTTTAGTCCGATATTTTCAGTATGCAAACTTATGCATGTTGATTTGTGAAAATTAAATCGTTTGTAAAATCAACTACTAGTATCAAATTATCTCCTTCTTTTATTGTTATATGTATCCGACTTTATTTACTTGACTTGACTTTCTTCTTCTTCTTCCAGTACGTACATGACCCGCTCTATACTATATATCTACAGATTTTTATTTAGATATAGCTCTGTGATATAATGTATAATAATTATCTTTTTACAAAAAGATCAAGTAGTTATTGTGCTTCCTCACAAACAAAAGAACACAAATAAAAAAATCACATATAAGTATATAGTTCACGTTTTTACTTCATTTCACATTTTGTACAAATATCTTTTTTTTCATCTTCACATTTTACTTTTAACATCGGCACCGTTGGAATGTTCATCAAGGCTTTAGTGGAGAACAAACTTTTAAAGAATGTGCAGTTTTCTGCTATTGTATTCTTAAATAGATTTAGGTTGAGATCCATTTCATTGCAGCAGTATTGGTTTTCATTTTTATCCAACTAAATGGTCCAGCTTAAAACATTTAATAGCTTGCTGCCTATTTCTGCTCCCATCATGATATTGTATTCAGTCGTAATTTCAAACTATTCTCTTCAATACGCATGCCCCCGTAGAAGCTCCCGGATTAACGCATGCGCAAATGCTTTGTCCGACATTTTGCGCCAAGTTTCCTGGAGAAATGTTTGCAAAATGAATTTGCAGGGCTTTTGAACAATCAAATCACCATGCGATTTTTAGGTGTCAAAAGAATTACGACGGCCGAGAATCCGCACCTTAAGCTGTAGTTTATTTTGCCCTCCGGTGTTTTAGGGCTGCAAAACTTTGATATTTGTTGCTTTAAATTTAGCCCAGTGTTTGAGCTTTTTGTGGCCAGGTCCTCGAAGTTGATCATCGTTCTTGAGAAATATGGCGTCTTGTGAATATGACTTGGACACATCGGGAGGACTGATGGATGTACGTTCATGTTCCTTTGCATTTAAATTCAGTTTTAATTATCGCAATCCATGTTTAAGTTCATACATTCGCTGAAATTATTTATCCTTTCCAATTTTTGTCAAAACATGGCAGCCATTGTGAATACATTTGGTGGTTTTTCTTTTTTCATTATCTAATTTTTTGTAGAAACTTCAAGCATATCAGTTGTGTTTCCTTAATGAAATTAGTGCAATGGAAGGTCTGATTGGTTTTGAAAGATTGGGAACTTGATGACAAAATTCATCATAGAAATGTTTTTCTATTTTAGGTCAATTAATCAATCTGGGGCAAAAATAAAGCCGGAAAGACATAATATGAAATTAGGCAAAGCCTATGAACGGGGAAGTCGTTAAAAATTCCTTTCATTTTTTCCGTTTTAAAAGTGTCATTCGGTATTTCATGCACCACTTCCGTTTTCACTCGGAACACTCGACGTTTATTATTTATCCGAAAAGTTGAGATTTGTTCCGTTTTCGGAATACACCGTCTTTTATCATTGAGTTAAATTGTAAATGGCGGCGCCTAACTAGAACTGACACTGAAAATTTAAATGATGGGTATTGATGTGAAAATACAGATATACTGCTTAACGTAGACGTCATCAGCCGAGTACCCATCTGTCACTGGATGTTTCGCCCCTTATCTCGGAACATCCTCAAGATGGTGGGGCAGGTAGTGTTGATCAGGTACTACCTCGTCTATGATGGCTGCCAGGTTGGTTCATTGCGTCTTAGCCAGAGCCAACTGGACGCTCTCTCTGCAGCTTTGCCAAGAGCATGTGCTGCTGTATTCCGGGCTCCTCCTTTAATGCCCACTGCTCCCAGCATTTTCCAAACTGACTGTGATGGAAAGCCTCTGCAACCAACTTCTACTGGGAAGACCCATGTCTTCCATCCTCTTTCTTTACACGTGTCTGCCAAGTCTTGGTATTTCCCCTTCTTGATCTCATGGGACTCTTCTACTCTCTCTTCCCAAGGAACAGTGAGTTCTACCATCACCATCAACTTCGGAGACCTTGACCACATTACTATATCTGGCCGGAGGGATGTGTGAGTCACTTCCTCTGGGAACTTTAACTTCTTCCCAAGGTCTACCAGCATTTCCCAGTTCTTTGAATCATGTAAAATGCCAGTACCTGTTGATTTTGCAGACTTCTTCTCCCCCTCTTTAACAAAGTTGATAAAGTGTGGTCCAGTCTTTTTCAACGGTCTATCTTTCTTTCTCTCTTTCTCCAGGATGTCCGCCATTTCACGAAGAACTTGGTCGTGGCGCCATCTGTATCGTCCCTGGGACAGTGCAGTATTACATGATGACATGATATGGCGTAATGATCCTACATTCCCGCAAAGTGGACAGCTGGGATCTTCTGACAACTTCCACAGTTTAAGATTTGTTGGGGAGGGTAGTAGGTCGTAAACAGATCTAAGGAGAAAACTCAATTGAAGTGGCTCATAACTCCACAGCTCCTGCCAGGTTAACTGCCTCTCTGGCAAGTTCCACTTCATCCAGCTTCCCTGAGAACCAAGTTGGACTGATCTTGATGACCGTGTTTCATCTTCTGCTCTCCTTAGTTCTGTCTGCACCATTGATCTTCTCTCCACTTTATCAGAATCGCTCCATCTCTGTTTGAACCTGATACCTAGTCCTTCTCTGCCCTTGTTTGTTGTTCCTACAATATCCTGGAGCTTTAAACTACTTTCAGCTTGGTCTACTGCCTGCTTAACTGACCATTTCCTCCCAGTTCTTACTTCAATTCCTGCTCCACTGATCTTCTCATCAGACGAGTCCCTAAGTGTAAGCAGCAGACGTGCCTTAGCAACTTTGTATTCTTCGACCAGTGAGTTGAATGGCATCTGTAGTTTTGATGACCGGCTATATAAACCTAAACTGGTGAATGATGGAGGGAGGCCTAGCCATCTCCTTAGATGTTTGCTAACTGACTGCTCCAGCTTCTCGACTAAACTGATGGGGATTTCATTGACCATCAATGGCCAGATAAGTCTAGCTAAAAGACCGTGCTGGAAGATCCATGCTTTGTACTTTCCAGGGAGTTCTGACTTGTCTATTCTCTTTAGCCCTTCTTCAACTTGCTGTTTTAGTCGTCCTTGGCTTTTGGTGTCCTTGAGTGTAGAATCAAACCACTTTCCCAAACACTTTACTGGGTTGTTGACTAACGAAGGAATCTCTTCTTTCTGTATAGTTAGTTTGAATCTGTCTGTTACTTTCCCCTTCCTCACTACCAAACACCTTGACTTTCTTGGCTTAAATAACATCCTTGCCCATGACACTGTTTCATCAAGTGCGTGCAGAATCCATCTCGCCTGGATGTGGGTTTCTGTGGTGGATAGTCATGTCATCCATGAAACCCCTATTGGATGGGAGACGAATGCCGGCATTTGTCTGTGGACCTCTTGATTCCCTCTCTGCTGCTCGGATGATCATGTTCATACCCATAACAAACAATATGACAGAGATGGTGCATCCTGTGACAATGCCTTTCTCCAGTGGAACCCAATCTGTGGTAAATCTACTGCATGAGAACCTCAAATGGATGTTATTGAAGTAGCTTGTGACCAAATTTCTTGCTTGTTCTGGAACATGGTAGTGCTGTAGTGCCTCAAGAATAAGTTGGTGGGGTATGGAGCCATAAGCATTTGCAAGGTCAAGCCATACTACTGTAAGGTCTTTTTGGTTGATTCTTGCCTCGTGTAGCAGTTGTGTGAGAGCACTAGTGTGCTCCACGCAGCCAGAGAATCCTGGGATTCCACCTTTCTGTACAGACGTGTCGATATACTTATTTTCTATCATGTAAGTTGTCATTCTCTTGGCTAGGATGGAGAAGAAAATCTTTCCTTCCACACTCAACAATGATATGGTTCGGAACTGTGTTATATTCTGCGAGTTCTTCTCCTTTGGGACAAGACAGCCCTCTGCTGTCTGCCAGCAATTTGGAATGCTTCCTTTCCTCCATACCACCCGTAAAAGTGACCATAGTGTTCTTAAAAGCTTTGGGCATTTCTTATACACCTTGTATGGGATGCCACTAGGGCCTGGGGCAGAGCAAGAGCGTGCTTTCTTGACCACATCGTTTATTTCTTTCCATGTGGGCTCCTTCATGTTTAGTGGAATGGCAGGCTTGTCTACTGGTTGGATTCTTCCGCATTCTCCCAATGATTCGTTTCGGTGTGGGTCAGAATGGGTTTCCTTAAGGTACTCTTCCACCTCCTTTCGACTACTCTCCAGCTTACCACATTTCTCCTCGCCCAATAGTTCTTTCGTAAATTTATATGGGTTTGATATGAAAGCTGTTCTTTTCTTTGTCTTTTCCCTCCTTTTTCGTCTAAGTCTTTCAGCATTGGTCAGCGACTTGAGTCTTGATCGTATCTGCTCTCTGAGTTGCTTAATCCCTTCCTTCTCAACCGTACTTGATTGCTTGTACTGCTTCCTGAGAGACCGCAGTTCTAGTCGGATCTTCTTTATTTCACACAGTCGTCTGTTAGGGACTGGAGGTGGTTGCGGTAGATTGGGTTTATTTTCTAAGCCAAATCTTTCCTTCCCAAGTGTGTATGTAAGTGAGGTAAGTGCCTCCAATTTCCTTCCCACTGCTCCGATGAGTGTTGACTGTAGGACTAAGTGTAAGTCTTCGTCAAACAGTGCCCAGCCTTTGTCGTTCATCTTTGGCCAAGCAATCTTCTGTTTCCTCTCACTAGAAGTTGGCTGCTGCCTTTCAATGACTAGGTCGTGTGTCTCCCTGGTACTTCCTGCAAGTGGTGATGTTCGCCATGACTCTGGGAAGGTAAGTAGATCTTCGGTGCTATTTCCTGTGGCTGAGACTCTCTCACTGGATTGGGTTAAACTTGGCCCAAATATAGGCGAGTCCTTCCTTGTATTATTCAGCCTGAATATTGGTGAGTCCTCTTCTTCATCTCGTACATCATTATCTTGCTCCTCAGGAACAATAACATGTATATTTTCCTGCACACTCAAGAGGTCATCTATGGACTGTGTTACCTCCCCCGTCAACCTGCTACCAACCATTGAAAAAACAGGAGCTAGGAGACTTCTAGTACTGTGGTTGGAAACCTGACCAGATATCTCCCCCGTCTCACCAGGTAAACCTGTGCGTTGCTGATGTTTTCGCTGTGACTGACAACCGCTCTTCGTCTGATGGATCTTCAGTCCTCAATGATTCTTACAAATCTTTCCACATTGACACACCACTGATGTGGTTTCTCCAGTCAAAGTCCGTTGTACGTTTCTGTTCGTTGCCATAGTATCCGTCCTGTTGGGCCTTTCATCCTCCCCCCCTCTCGGATGGCCCTGGGGGTATTTACTCTTTTGTTCTGTTGTAGCGTACTGTATGGTTGCCTCCTCGCAGAGACTGCATAACGGGGTGCCGACCCATTATACACCGGTTTCTAGTCTTTCCTAGATGTCGTCTGTCTCTCCAGCGTCACCATTCTTTCCTGGTTGTCATCCAGCCTTTCCTGGAAGTCACTGGTAAACCAGCATCAATGATGTGAAAATACAGATATACTGCTTAACGTAGACGTCATCAGCCGAGTACCCATCTGTCACTGGATGTTTCGCCCCTTATCTCGGAACATCCTCAAGATGGTGGGGCAGGTAGTGTTGATCAGGTACTACCTCGTCTACGATGGCTGCCAGGTTGGTTCATTGCGTCTTAGCCAGAGCCAACTGGACGCTCTCTCTGCAGCTTTGCCAAGAGCATGTGCTGCTGTATTCCGGGCTCCTCCTTTAATGCCCACTGCTCCCAGCATTTTCCAAACTGACTGTGATGGAAAGCCTCTGCAACCAACTTCTACTGGGAAGACCCATGTCTTCCATCCTCTTTCTTTACACGTGTCTGCCAAGTCATGGTATTTCCCCTTCTTGATCTCATGGGACACTTCTACTCTCTCTTCCCAAGGAACAGTGAGTTCTACCATCACCATCAACTTCGGAGACCTTGACCACATTACTATATCTGGCCGGAGGGATGTGTGAGTCACTTCCTCTGGGAACTTTAACTTCTTCCCAAGGTCTACCAGCATTTCCCAGTTCTTTGAATCATGTAAAATGCCAGTACCTGTTGATTTTGCAGACTTCTTCTCCCCCTCTTTAACAAAGTTGATAAAGTGTGGTCCAGTCTTTTTCAACGGTCTATCTTTCTTTCTCTCTTTCTCCAGGATGTCCGCCATTTCACGAAGAACTTGGTCGTGGCGCCATCTGTATCGTCCCTGGGACAGTGCAGTATTACATGATGACATGATATGGCGTAATGATCCTACATTCCCGCAAAGTGGACAGCTGGGATCTTCTATATATTTTTTAATTGTATTTTTTATTTGATTTTCTTTTAAATATACACGTGTAGTCTATAGCCGGGCAAGCCAAAGCGGGCCCTGACTTTGACTTCCCCGTATTAATATTAGCGCCACATTATCTTTTTTGTCCAATCAGGCACATGCTTCACCATTTTGTCTTTTTGATCATTGTTCAAAGGGAATTTTCAGTACTTAGTAAACTGTGTAAATTAGACATGAGCCAACTGGCGTTAGATTTTAGGCAATGTCCTGGATTAGACCCCTATGTATATTTCAGAAGTAAAACTTGTATATTATACACTAAAGAAAACGAAATGAACCTTGTATATACACCTGGTTTAGACCCGGAGTTTATTCCAGGATATTGCCAGATTTTATCTGTCCTTCAATAATAAAATGGTCTTCATGTGATTAAATGAACATTCATCAATGTATTATACGCTCGTTTGAAAAATGTGTCTTATTATAGTTTCCCCCCTGTAGGGCGGCATCCAATATTTGTCTGGAGCATATCTCCTGCATCCATGGAGGATTTTTTTTAATGAAACTTAATAGAAATGTTCACCACTATGAGAAACTGTGTCCTGCACATGAACCAGGCCTCTAGGTCAAAGGTCAAGGTCACACTCAGTGTAAGAAATTAGGATTTGAATCGACTAGACTGGTCGGACTACCAGATTGGAATATTCACTAGCCCAAAAGGCATTTCACTAGACTGATTCATTTGTTCAAAACAGTTGTTTATATTGCCTCTGAAAATACAGTAGCCTGGTCGGGCTTGTTACTGTGAAAAGTTGGTAGCCCGAGGAGAAATTTAGTAGTCAGGGGCTACAGGACTACTGCTAATTTCGAACACTGCACACTTAGAGGCTATTGTTAAAATGCTAGTCCAGAGCATGCATAGAGGGATTTCAATATAACTTGGCACAAATGTTCACAATTGTGAGACGGAGTGTCATGTGCTAAATTTATTTCCCTTCAGCCAAGGTCACACATAGGGGTCAAAGTTCAGATAAAAATATGAAAATATGTATTGGGACCATTTAGTCATCATTTATTGAGGGATTGAAACACAAATGGTCATTATCATGACTACTGGTATGAAACATATAAATTTAGATTAACATATGCAAGGTCAAGGTCACTAAAGATGATTGCCAAGGTTTAAAATGTGCAGTGAAATGAGAAGCTATGACATTAATAAATATTATATGTGTAAAACCTTGAAAAACGTTTCATTCAATGAGTATAAATTAACATCTAATAGTCTTATTATTACAGGAGATTCAGAAGTTGATTGCCCCTCCTGTTAGTGAAGATGCTGCTCGTAAAATGAGAAGAGGACCAAAAGAATTTAAGAAACACGGAAAGGCAATAAATCATGACTATTGTGATAGCTGCACTGAAGGTGGAGATCTTGTATGTTGTGACAGATGTCCTGCCTCATTCCATCTGCAGTGCCAGTAAGCTTATTTTATATTGTTTGAAATTTATTCAGTGTATATTATTGAACTTGGTGACATAACACCTGAACAAACACGTCAGTAATAATTGGATATTCAGCATCTATAATTGATGAGCAGAAAGGTCCTTCGTTCAGTACTGAACAGACAAAACCTACAGTTTGAGGAATGCTGCAACCTCAGCTTTTACTATGAACATCATCATCGCAGCTCACTACCATCAATTTTAATAAATTTTATCATTTGTGATTACATGGCTGAAATCAATTTATCTTGTAGCATGAATTTTGGGAATATTGATGGTAACTAGGCCTTGTTATAGCTCAGGGTTTTCATTGTTAACAGATTGGCAATCCATATTAGTTATTACCAGTTTAAATGCTAATAAAATGCCAATCCATATTTTCGGTTTAAATGCTAATAGAAATTAGTTATATTTTCAGCCTGTACATTAAAATATCCGCCTTGACCTATGGCTTTGGTTGTTTTTGTTGGCACATCTGTTGCCTCACTGAAAAATAAAAACCCTGTAGCTTGAGGTATTTTGGGTTTTTCATGCTTAGAATGTAGTTAAAGGCCATGGTCAATGAATTATCACATATTTTGTTAATACTGTAGGAAATAGTAGGTAATTAAATGTCCTGGATTTCAGATATGGTTATGATTTTGATTCTTTATGTCAGCATTACATTTTTTTTTATTTATTTGCAAGTATAAATTTATATAGGAAGTAGTAAGATGATAAGTTCCTGACACAATTTTCAGTCTCTTTTTAAATTACCATGTCTTACAGAAGGTGTCTTGTATTTCAGTGATCCACCATTGGAAGAAGATGATATTCCCCCAGGAGAATGGATCTGTCATAGATGTAAAACAGGTCCAAAAGAGGTGATATATCCAACATTTATATCTTTTATATAATAAATGTCTTTAGTTTTGCTGGAAAACAGGTCAATATTGAAATTACAGACTAAGAAATATATATAAGTAAAAAGTTTGTATCAAGTTATTTTACAGATTTTTATTTTCTTAAGTTAATAATACTGACATATAGGTATGTTGTTGATGAGATGTTTGATTATTTAACTAAATATTTTACCATGTTTGGAATTAATGGAATGAAAATTAAATTTTTAGAAAGATGATGATGCCTCGTCAACAAAGAGTGGTAGTTCATCTAACAGCGGGAAATCTTCAAAATACTTTCCACCACCAATTCCAATACCTGTATTATCAGCTAACCCATTACATACCCTGGCTGAAGCAGCTAAAATTCTCAACCCTGTACAATTTGAACTCCCTAAAGATATTGACTGTACAACACCACTCCCTGGTAAGTTAAACATTCTGTACTTAATGAGTGGGTAAATTTCTTTTAGAAATCAAATCTTACCAGTTTAAAACAAAGACCGGAGACATGTTTTTATTGTTGAAACTGGTAATCTTGAACATGGTAGTTGATGGACTACATCTTATTGTTGTAGAGTTTACTAGTAATAAACTAGTCGACTTAATCTCGACATATAAGGTGGGGATTTATGGTTTCTCATATTCCTTCTCTGCCCTTAGTAATAAAGTTAAACACATGATCACATGAATAAATGGTCTTATGTACACTGAAATCACTGTTTATAGTGACCAGCAAAACAGGTCAATTTTAATAATGATTTTCTTGTTTAAACTTTTCTTTTTTTTCATAACAGAAGAAATCTAGGAAAAACTTTCTCTTTGATTTCAGTTTTAGAATAGCTGTGTAAATTCTTTGTTAAAGAATCACTATTGATTGAGAAATCAATTAAGATTGAGTTCTGGTTTAAATTTAGATTATGAAAATAATGGTTTTAAATCAAGATGTGACAAAAGCCATATGTGCCAATTGACCAACTTTAGTAAAACTGTTATGTGTTATGTAATGTGATTGGCTAGATTATACATGCAACAAGAACAAAAATGAAATAGAAATATCTGTTACTGAGCTAAATTTATCAAGTTTTTGCCTTTTCCAGGGTCTTACAAAAGGAAATGGTGGGGAAGGGATAAAAATTTGCCTTCTAAGAAAGTAGCTCATGAGTTGGACAATGGATTAGTTCCCTTACCAGCTAAATTGTGTTATGTTTGTAACAGGTAAGTTTTAAATTAGGTTTGCTAAAAAGATAAACTTGTATAAATTATATTGACAGTTTTAAAATGGTTTTTACTCTGTCTCAAGTTTTCTCAATAATATACGTATAAAGGAATAGAAATTTGACTTGCTCAGAATTTTTCAAACCTTTTTTGTTGTACAGGAGTTTATAAGATTATCAATACAAAATATTGTATTTGCTTACTGCTTGTTTTTTGTCCGTAAGAGTGATAAAAGTATTGTAATATGTGATGTGTTCTTGTAAAGAAGAGAGAAATACTTAAACAAGTTATTTTTTTTTAAATGTTTGCAGTGTCCGTCTTTATCCACTTAATCACAGACATTTTGAACACTTGCTTGTTTTTGAGGCATATTTTCTTTTCTGCCAGAGTAAGAGCAAGTTTGACATGTGTTAATAAAATTAATGCCACAACACACCTCTTATATGACAAGAAAATAGAATGACATTACTTCGGAATGACCTTGGCATTGAAGGTTAAATTTTACAGTGTAGGAAATTATACCAAGTCAACTCAATCATGTCCTTATTCAATAATAGTTTTCCTATTCTTAAATAACTAACTGCTTGTTTCAGCTTAATACTTTTTTTTTCAAAGAAAATGTTTATATTTTTCAGGAGTTGTCGAGTTGGCCCCTTGTTGCCATGTGACTATTGTCCATGTTTGTACCATTTAGACTGTTTGGACCCACCCCTAGCTTCAGTACCAACCACTGTATGGATGTGCCCTAACCATGTAGAAAACATCATTGTAAGTTATCATATCACATTGATCTTGCTTAAGGATTAGAGGCTGTCTAAAGTTAAAACATATATGATTTCTTATTTTAGTATTTTTTCTTTCACTCTTAAATTGTACATAAATGATACTGGAATACTAGTAAACAAACATTTATGCTGAATAAGAGGCGATTCTAGATATTAATTTAAGTTCCTAAATGCTTGCTTTTTACCTTCAGGATGAAAAATTGTTGAAGACAACTATGCTTACAGAAAGGGTAAAACTTTGGGACAAGTATAATGACAGGGTTAACCAGCACACAGTTAAAATGAGATTTTTAAAGAAAGTACATAGAAAAGACCCTCCATTTAGATTAAAATTTCGGCATCCTCGACGCAAAGCAGCACAGGTACCTCCATTTTATGATCAATATCTCTTACTTCACTGTGACATTTGATCTTAGACAATGAGTCCGGTTTGTTGTCCAGTAAAGTTTGTTTAGGTAGATTGGGCAGAAATCAAAACAAAGTTTCATGAGCCACCAGACTACAATGATTTTATGGAAAGAAACAGCAGACAATCTGTTGTTTGTTCAGATTATATTGACATATTATTCAGTTATAATAATTTTCCATTTCTTCTGACAAATAGCAAAGAACATGCCAGGAAAGACATTTTATTTATTGTTAGGATTTTCTCAAATATGTCAGCGTTAAGATTGACTTTAAACTTTGTAAGAGTATGGTTTAGAGGCATGATTTAAGTCAGTCTGTAAAAAAAACAACTTATATGTTATGAAGCACATAAGAAAAAAGGAATGACTGATTTTTGCATGTATTACTGCAGATATACAGAATAAAACATGATTGTTCGAATCATCCTTACATACTCTTTTGTTGTTTTAAGATTCCCCAATCAATAAAAGATTACTACCAGTACCCATGTGATTTATTACCACCACCAACATTAGCTAGTGGCACGGGAACCAGTGAAGAGATAAATGACAGAGATTGTTCAACAGAAACATCACTGGAAGAGCAAGAGCATGTAAGTTATGGAATTCCCACAGAAACTTTCCAATTAGCATTTCTGTAATATAAATAGAATATTGATTATAATTTCAAAGTACTAACATTATTAATTGCCACTATAACTGAATACTGCTTTATGTTCAATTTTCAATGTACTTTTAAGATGATCTTGTCAAGTAACAGACCAGTTACAAGTTTTGATTTGCAGGGGACCAGTTACAAGTTTTGATTGCAGGGGACTTCAATTTTATAAATGAGCTTGATATGTTTGCAAAGAATGTATTCTACGCTTAGAGTGAACAATATTGTTCATGATAATTTTTGAGAGCAAATACATTAAGGATGATACTTGTTGTAGGCCTCTCTTTGATATTATAATAATTGGCAAAAGATAGATTTGTGTTGTAAAATGGACTTCATAGACTTTGCAAATCACTTTTAAAGAAGTACTAAGTTTATGTTTATATATTTCAGTGGTTGAAGTCAGTGGTATCATTACAGACCAGTATAGCTCAGTTTTTAACTAAAAAACAATTAGAACGAAGTAATTCAATTGAAAGCTGTAAAAATTCTGAATCTGCTAAAACTGAAAAACCAACAGCCTCAGTCCAACCTGTGCAAAATAGAGACTTAATGGACCAGTCTAGTACTGTATCTGAAAATTCTAACCAGTCTAGTGATCTTAAATCTAAAAATAGTAATTGTAGTGAAAGTAGTGTATCAAATGGACCTCTAGTCTCTAATTGTGACACAAAGGTGAATAATGGACATCTAGATGTAAACAAAGGAGCAGTATCATTATTAAATCCATCTTGTAGTACATTAAATGGTGATATTGAAATGGCAGAACCAACACGGTCAAAAGACTGTTCTAGTAGTAACTCTGCGGATGGATCTTCAAATTTTGTGAAATTGACTTGGCCAGGTGGAGATAAACAAGTAAATGTTTCAAGCAATGCACAAACTTCTGGTGGTAGAAATATTGTTATTAGTACTGTGAGTAAAACAAACAATGTGTATACGCGAGTGGTTCCAGGTATTCCTGGGAAGCTGGCGGGACAAACATCAATATTGTCTGCAAGGGGAGGCAGTCAAACAGGAAAACAAGGCAGCACTATACTCAAGTCAAATGTAGCATCGGGCAGCCCTTCAACTAAAGTCATCACTGTTAATCAATCTCAACCAGGTAATAAACTGAAGTTGGTTTAGTTTTCCCTTATGATGTTAGTGATAAGTGTAATGTCATACATCTTCAGTACTCACTTCCACTGAATTTTCTCTAGTTTCTTTGCGCAATGTGTTGTATAGTTTGTATGGTTTGCTCCCATATAAATCAAAAGGGAAAGCATGAGATTAGATATGCAGGGGAACAATCCTTGTGCGAGGTGTAATTTCTTTGTGACATTTCCTCTTGAATATTGAGTCATGGTCATTTGTCTTTTACTGCTAGTTAGAAAATTATGTGGAATTAATAGTCACTTGCAGCAAGTAATCAGGTAATTATTGGTAATGTATCCAATAAAGCTGGTTAGATAGATTAACTGGGATATGACCAAAAATGTAAAATTATTTGAAAAAAAAATGTCTGTTTTTGCTTGTTCAGAAATTATGTGGGATTTACAGATAATCATCTATGGCAAGTTATTGGTAATTGTTAGTTAGTTATCCAGAAAAGCTGATAAGATGGATTGACTGCTGAGATATGACCAAAAAAGTTTTAGAAGCAAGAAACTCAACGAAATAACAGATATTGTAGTTTGTATTTAAGACTGAGATCGCTATACAGTATTTGTGTTCTATTTTCATAAAACCAACACTGAATGACAACTAGTGACTATAATTGAAGTTGATTAATAAATATCTACCAAAAAAAAAAAAAAAAAAAAAAACAACAAAAACTATATCTCATGAAGGAATAAAATAGTACATAAATGTTGAATAAATAATTCTATATTAATCAAAGTTTTAAATGACCAGCTTTTAAATGTATGATGGGCTGAAAGAAAAATAGTTTTTAAATATTTTTAATTGCTGAAACGTTTTGCCACAGCAATTATTATTGTAATACAGTATACACTGCTTAATTATTTTTCAGCATCAAAACTTGCAATATCCCAGGGCAAGGCACCTCAAGTAACCAGTACAGGGGCTAATCAGACTTCATCGGCAATAATCTCATTGAACAACACATTGCAGCAGTGTCTGGAAGGAACTGCAGGTGAGGAATAACCCTGACATAAATTTGTTATTCATATTTAGCTTGGCTGTTCAAAAAGTAGGGAGAGTTGTTGTTCTCATCTATGTGTCTGCGCCACACTTTGGTTAAGTTTTTTTCTCTGTGCAAATTGCTTTCTACAAAATTAATGAAGGGAATGGGTTGAAACTGAACACACTTATTTGAGAGTATAAAAGGAAGTCACTTTCTTAGACCCATAACTCTTACATGGATTTTGATAGCGTTATAACTCATTTGAACTTTAAAAAAGTCTACAAAACAATATCCTGGCTCTTGTTTAACTATCAATCACTGAGAATACTAGAGCACACTGTCCTACAAACAGCTCTTGTTGTTGAATGTTATGTTGTAAGAATTAGGAGAGATTTCTTTCACCTGAAGCTTTCAAATAATTACCTATTGCAAATGCTTAACAATTAAAAACTGAATAATTAGATGAAAAGTCACTGTGTATGTATATATTTGTTTCAGATTTGGAGTTGAGCAAACTAGATGAGAAGTTGATACAGATATTAGCATGGCAGCGACTTCAACAATTGATGCCAAGTAAATCAGGCAGTGAGTCACAGAGAAAAAACTCAGGTTCAATAAATGGTCTCCTAACTACACCAGGTACAAATCAGTACACTTTTATCACAATAAAGATTTCTAATGCGTAGTTAATCAGATTTCCTGTTTTGTTTTAATCACCTAGTGATTTATCCCCTTTCTTCTAAATCGCTTTTTGATTGTATCGTACTTTGAGATTGGTTGTTAATTTTATTGTAAAGATTTCATTGCTCCCATTGTAAAGATTTCATTGCAGGGAGCAATCTATTGTATTTTCAATATATTTTTATAGTGAATTAAGAATATTTATTACATGCTTTTCGGTGGTTTATAGAAATATATCAGTGATATAAAACTGGTAATTTCACTGTTTGAAACAGTGAAATTACCACTTTGATAATTTCACTGTTTTGAATTTAAGCCCCTTACGTTGTTTCAGTTAAATACCAGCGTGCACAGAACTGGGTACCAACTTAATGACGTGACGTCGTATATGACGTCACGTTGTATTATTATTTGGCGCGCTTATCATTCAGTATTAGGTTAAATGTCTTTTTAAAACGTTTCTTTGCATATAATAAAAAGAAAATTTGTTTAGTTTAGCAGGGCCCTCGATCAACCAAATCTGCGGCCGATATTCGGCCGCAGTCCCCCACCAAAATAGTATGTTTTTTTCCCCCTAACAGAGGTAAAAATTCCCCCTCAAAACATATAAAGTGTTAAAGAGAAAAATGAAAACTAATGTTGTTTTTGAAAATTAAAATCAATCTATTTGACGTCTATTTTGTAAGCGGAATATCGTACAGTACATGTCTGCACGTTTCCGTTTGTTTTTTCCCCTCAAAATCTACCGTCACTTTCATCCTGTAAAAATGCTAAAATTTCAACAGAAATATGCAGAAAAAAATCACAATTCCCGTCAACAATTTGATTTCAAATTGTTTATTCATGAAATCATTTTTTTGTCTTCAAAATGTTACATCAACCACGGTTAATTTTGCTTAAATTACAAACTTGTAAGTTTTGTTTTCATGATACTTTATTAAATAACTGATGAAAAACGATCTTATAATAAACAATCAATTTAATTTTATATAATTTAATCGGAAACAACTAGAATTGTGGATGTGTAAACAGAAAACAAACAAATTTTCATTTGCCACATATTTTCGCGATGCCGATTTTTACGAATGTTTTACAAAGTCAAGAAAAGGAAGCTTTGTCAAAGTAAAAGGTGTGTTAGAACACTTAAAATGTAGTTTATGAATAGAATTTACTTTAGGTCCATGTATTGTTCATATTAGTGGAAATGGAGACATTTGTCTGAATGTGTTTCACAATGCTTACTTTTATTTTATTTTTTATTGGGGGGGGGGGGGGGGGGGGTGAATCATAAAGAAAGCTAAGCAGCATAAAGATCTGATGGTGTAAGGTGTTAAAAAAACTTTTCTTCAAATCTTATCAATCACTTCTGAACAGTTTAGTGTAACCTATTTGGGATTTTTTAAAAAATAGTATGCGTGTAAATTAAAAAACAGCTGATATTTAAATAAGTTTATTTGTTATTTGATCATGAAAAAAAGAGGAAAATTCCCCCCATACACTAAAATTCCCCCTGCTGAGGGTAGCGACCCGCTTCCCCCAAATTGGATTGAGGGCCCTGGTTTAGTGTAAGATCGAAATATATTTCACCTTGTGAACACCAAAAGTTCATATTTCACTCGTGGCTGCGCCACTCGTGAAATATACCTTTTGGTGCTCACTCGGTGAAATATATTCCGATCTTACACTGAACTAAACAAATATCCTCTATGTGTTATAGTCCAACAAATGGAATATTGATAGTATTGAATGTGCATGAAAATGAAGTCTTAAATTGAGACTTCTTTAAGTACATTAACTTTAACTCCATTAAAGTACATAGATATTGTTTGATATAAGATAGATATTGTCAAATTATTCTTGTTAAACATTTTTATCATTGTAAATTTAGTATTGAGACCTGAAATCAGATTCTTTTTTTATGCCACCGCAGCATCTGCGATGCGGTGGCATATAGCGATTCATCTGTGTGTGTGTTTGTTTGTGTGTGTGTGTGTTATATAGATTATATAGTGAACTTAAAAAATCTTCTTGTGAAAAACAACTTGTCCAATTTCAACCAAACTTGGCAGGATTGATCCTTGGGTGAAGGGCTTCCAAAGTTGTTCAAAGAATTTCATTCCATGCAGAAATCTGGTTGCCATGGTAACCAAAAGGAATTATAAGAATAAATTAAAAAAATCTTCTTGTAAAGACCCAAAAGGCCTAGAGCTTAGATATTTTGCATAAGGCATTGTCTGGTAGACCTCTACCAAGATTGTTCAAATTATAACCCTGGGGTCAAAATCGGCCCCGCCCCGGGGGTCATTGATTTTCACTATATGTACATATAGTAAAAACTTAAAATAACTTGTTGTAAAGACCCAAAAGGCCTAAAGCTAAGATATTTTGCATAAGGCATTGTCTGATAGACCATTACAAAGATTGTTCAAATTATAGCCCTGGGGTCAAAATCGGCCCCGCCCCGGGGGTCATTGATTTTCACTTTATGTACATAAAGTAAAAACTTAAAAAACCTTCTTGTAAAGACCCAAAAGGCCTAGAGCTTAGATATTTTGCATAAGGCATTGTCTGGTAGACCTCTATTCAGATTGTTCAAAATTATAGCCCTGGGGTCAAAATCGGCCCTGCCCCGGGGGTCATTGGTTTTCCTTATATGTATATAGTAAAAACTTTATAGTAAAAAATTTCTTCTAGCAATTGACAAAATGCTAGAGGTTAGATATTTTGCATGAAACATTGTGAAGTGAACTTCAACAAGATTGTTCAAATTATAGCCCTGGGGTCAAAATCGGCCCTGCCCCGGGGGTCATTGTTTTCCTTATATGTATATAGTAAAAACTTTATAGTAAAAAAATTTCTTCTAGCAATTGACAAATGCTAGAGGTTAGATATTTTGCATGAAACATTGTGAAGTGAACTTCTAGCAAGATTGTTCAAATTATAGCCCTGGGGTCAAAATTGCCCCTGCCCCGGGGCAGTAATTTTCTCATTATGATCACATAGTAAAAACAGAAAATAAAACAAATCTTTTCTGAATGGGAGAAAGCTACAGCTTAGATATTTGACTCGAAATGTTGTTTGGTGGACCTGTATCAAGATTGTTTTGAATTAAACCCTTGGGGTCAAAATTTTGCCTTGCCCAAGGGGACAGTGACCTACTTTCTTGTCCTTTGATGTACAGCAATGAAATTTTGACCATTAGCACAGTTTTAGTTGTAAAATTGAACTTTGATGTCAGGTGACCTAGATTTTGATGATGTGACCTACTTTCTTGTCCTTTTATGTACAGCTTTAAAATTTGAACCATGTGTACAGATTAAGATGTTAAGTGAACTTTGTTTTCAGCTGACCTAGATTTTGACAAAGTGTCTTACTGTGTTGTCCTTTGATGTAGTCATGAAATTTAGGCTGTGTGAAATATGACCATCAAATTCACTAGACTCAAGTGAATTGATATATTCCTACTCTGATCTTTTATTGAGTTAACAACAGATTAAACCACTAGTCTGATAATAAGAATTAGATAGGTCAGGGATCTATGCATTATGACAATCTTCAAAATTGTATAGAAACAAAAAAAAATCTGTTTCTACACTACTATTTAGTGTTGTATTAATGCGGTGGCATAGCATTTTTCTCAAATGCAATCTTGTTTATTTCGGACATAATGATAAGTAAATGATAAGAAAAACCTGAGAAAGGGTAATATCCAGTTTTATTAGGAGTTAAAAATGATTAAAACCTAGTGAGGAAATCTTTTTAGATATGTAATGTATAGTTAATTTAACCTCATCAGGAAATGTAATTTATGTCAATTCATGTCATATTGCAGGTCTTCAGGACGTACAGGCTAGAGCCGTGTTGTGTCCGTTGTCAGGTAGAGGGGAGGCTATTCCTATGCCATATAGAACCTTGTCACTAGGCACAGGTACACTGACTTATTTTGCTTTCTAAATTTCTTGACAATATAAGTTTATAATTAATGCATATATGTTTAAAAAAAAAAACTTTCATGATGTTTATTAATCTGTGGTTCTACTTGGTTGCCTGCTTGTGGCTGAAGTAATGCAAACAGGAGTCTACCTGCACCAGTAAAGTCGAATGATTTTATAGTGTTACTGTGATTTTATTGTGATAAAACAAATCCTGCAGGTTACAGTAAACACTGGGTAGAGACTAGCAAGCTTGCCTTCCATCTGTTTGGCAGTGCAGAGATATTGAATGTAATAACTTACCAACAGGAAAGTTTGTTAATGAATATTTGAATTCTATCTCAACTGTGTTTAATTTTTCAGGTGCTGATATGGATGTTTGTCTGGGCCAGTATGGACAATGCAATTTTATCTCAGCTAAACATGCATTCATTTTCTATGATGAGGTAAGGCTGGTTTGACCTAGAACAGATGTCTATGTATTTAGTTTCAAAATAAATAGAGGAGAGCATAATTTTGGTATTGTGTTTAATGGGTTTGAAATAGTAGCATGGAGAAATCCTGGCTGGCTTGGTAGAGATTGGGCAATTTATAAAGACCTAAAATTTGCCAAAGCATAAGTTTTTTATGTGATCAGGGAATTCCCCAGGATTTTTTTTAAGCGCTACAATTTTTTAATAAGACGGGGGTGGGTGCGGGAGGGGGTCTTGACCCCCATACCGCGTGTCGAAAATTTTTGCCATTTAAGGTGTCAAGATACTGCTGTGGGCTGTTTTAAAACAAATAATGAAAGCTTTTCACTTGATAAACATTTTCTTAATTTTTATTATTTACTTTTTACATTTCCAACAATTCAAATAAATAAACAATTATATATAAACACAAGTTCACAAAATGTGATCAACATTTATATGTATGTGTGTGTCCTATTTAAATGAGTATATTTCAGTTGTTTTTTCTTCATTAACATCATTAAAAGAGGGCCTGTCTTCTAGGTTTGTTGTCCTTCCATGCCTTGACTGCCTTCTCAAAGTTGAAAGATTCTAATGGGGGTCCTTACAGGGAGACGGCAAGAAGATAGTTTAGAACTTTAACAGAGAGACAATTCCTGTTTTCAGTCTTAACTCTCTTCAGGCAGCTGAATCCTCGCTCAAAATCTGAAATTAATAAATGAAAGTAATCATTTATGTTAACCTCATGTCTTATATTTATATTGTTTGTTTGATGTGAATATTTGAAAATTTAAAACTTCCAGCCTGTTTAAACTTAACTAAGTAAAAAAATTTATATTTGAAATGTTGAAAAACATCTAGCAAAGTGTTATACATCTGCAACTGTCATTGGAATTTCATTAATGTTCAAGAATGAATGAATTTAATAATGCTTACCTGCAGTAGAGGTTGGGAGGAGGAGACCCACAGCAGCAATTCTGTAAAGAGCTGGATGACTGGTAGAAAGGTTGCCAGTAATCCAGGTCATGGTCTGGTCGGCTGACTGATCAGTCCCCTCTAGACTGGCACGTACCTGGTGCCAGTGGCTGGCGTCACTGCTCCATATCTACACCAAAGTGCCTGCAGGCCAGCTCCTGTATGTCCTGACAAACCAATGCTAAGGGGTAGGACAGTAGATTGCACTTCACAAAGCTGTCCATGAACAGGCTCGAATAAAGAGGGCCTGCAAAGTTAATATTTTTTTCATTTTGGGGATTCAATGAATAGAAACAGATTACAAGATATTTTTTTAATTAAAAAACAAAATGACCAATTGGCTGTCACTAAGTGGGATTGTTGGTGTAAAGTTTTTGTTGTTGTTTTCACTCATTTGCAAGTTGATAATGAACAGTCGTAAATATTTTCAATGTTAAAGTAGCCATCAACCAAATTTATTTCTGAATATCTATGCAGTTTAATTCAAGAGTAAAAAAAGCAAAATGATCCTGAGACAGTTTCAACGACATTGCTCACAAAAAAACCTCTTAAAATTGATAGTGAACTAGGCTTCCCTTATTCGTGTTAGACATATTATTTTTTTGAAATCTTAATACTACAGTACTGCTTAGACGTAACGATCATAAGAAAGTGAAAGATGAAATTGAACATTACACTTATATTAAGACAAAGAACCTAAATATCAAACTGTTATATCGCATGTCAATTAATGCCAATTATATTATCAAAGCAATAAAAGTTATTACACCTACCTGAAACATGTAAATATCACACATGCCTCGTTTAATTGCACCCATCTCAATACACGGTAATTGACAACACCTGAAAGTGCACCAACAGTCGTCTGCAGACATCGATGACAGGTGTCTGTGACGTCACACAGTCGAAAGGCAATCAGTGTATCGGGTTGTGTATACGCCTCGGGTAATTATCTACACAGGACATGTATATTGGCTTGTTTATTTGGCTAACTGGGGCTAATTTGGGGTTAACTTATAGACACAAAAGAAAGGGATATCGGTCATTTTTTAAAGCGCTATGATAATTTTAAGCGCATCGGGATTTCTTGTTCTGAAATTTTAGCGCATCGGTGCCGATGCGCTAAAAGCGCCTGGGGAATTCCCTGGTGATGATTTGGTTGGACATAGAATGTCTATTGCTATTCATTCACTTATGTTAATTTATTGTTGAGAAATGAGTTAGTACTTGTACAGAATCATATGGTAAATGATCGCCTGCTGGGTTATTTTAGAAATAGTTTAAAAAACTGCCACTTACTTGAAACAGATTAATAGAAAACTTATTAAAAAATTTTCGGAAGAAAAAACAAACAAAAAACACATTGAAATAGATAAATAGAAAACTGATAAAAGTATTAAAACAAAATAAATTTTTGGTACAAAAATTAATGTCTAGATCAAAAGACTGATTGTTATTTAATTTGTAACTTGGATTATAAGGCTTTCGTGTAATATCCTGTATATACATTTCAGACTAGTAAGCATTATGAGTTATTGAACTACAGCGAGCATGGAACAACTGTTGACAATGTGCTTTACTCCTGTGATTTTTCTGACAAACCCGCCACAACTCCACAGCCATCAGCTGTTGTAGCAGCTGTTAGACATCTCAACAAAACACATAAACCAAAAATGAAAGCTGACGAAAGGTTAACAATGACAGCTCGACCACCTGATGTAAGGACTTGGTTTTAGATATTCTCCCCTGTTTTAATACCCACTAACATTTGTTTTATATTATGTTAAAAATGAGAAGGTAAAATTAAACTAGAAATAAAAGCAGCTATGCTATTATCAGTGAAATATTAAGAAATAAAACAGTCATGGCAGCGCTTTGTTATACAGTTGGATCATTAAGGATTCAATTGCAGATAGTTTAAAGATTACATACAATATATTGTTTTATTATTTTGTTCCATTTGATGGCCTTATTATTTTGTTTCATTTGACGACCTTTCTATAGCTACAAGAATGACGGTGGTTCTATTTAGTTGCATAATGGCACCTGAATTAAAGGTATATAGATATACACTCCACTTACAACGAGATCGGTTTTAACGAGGTACCGCTTACAACGTACATTCTACTTTTTCCTTCTATTTTCCTTTCATTTTTTTTATCGTTTATAACGAGATCGGTTTTAGCGAGATATCGGTTACAACGTACATAATTTCGCCGTCCCATGGGTATTTTTCAGAATTTTAACGAGGTCACTTCATTTGCACTTCGTCTGCATCAGTTTGTCACCTTGAGAAAAACAATGATGACCAATAATAAAGGTCATTTAAGGGTCGAGCAATTAACGATCAAATATGTCAGCCTTTTTTTGTCAGCGCTCCAGGCTAAATTGTCCTTAAGGTGACGAAATGTCATAACAAAACAATTTCATTGACTGATTAGCACAAATCTTGTGGTGTTATTCGGTGTTTGTGAGAAATGCACTGCGTGACTTTTGAAAAGGAATTTTTAAATGTTGTGTTTTCATGTTTTGTTTAAATTCTATGATAGCTATATATATTTATATACATGTATATTTAAATAAAACATAAACTTCTGATTGCAAAGAGTTACCTCCCATTATATACTCTTCAAAAAGGATGCAGGCGAAAGAGAAAGTAGAAATAAATGATGGTCGACGATTTCTCATTTGTTCTGTCCCAGTTATAACGAGGAATCATCCGAAGTCCCGACGATCTCGTTGTATCCGGAGTGCACTGTATTGAGTTTTGTTGATTCACATATTTGTTGAAGATGAAAACAAAATTGATACCTAAAAAGTTCCCATTCTTTTGACTTAAGTTAATATGCTATTGTTTTCTTTCAATGTTTACAGACTCGGTTAAGGTGCAACTGTAAAGGCAGCAGCTCAAGTCTGATAGGAGGAAGTGGAGCAGGCTGGGAAGGTACAGCCATTCTACACCACGGCAGTTACATCAAAGTTGGCTGTATACAGTTTGTGTTCAGCATTGTAGATCATGCAACATCTCAACCTATACCAGGTGTTAAGAGAGAACCTATGTCATTATTAAAATCACATCTAAAAGGAGTTCCGTAACATTTAATAAAATATTCTGTTTTTACATTTGATGTCTTCTGTGATAAATCTTTAACCAATTTAGATAGATTTGTAAGATACTGGGCATTATTTTAAGAATTTTACATTTTTTGTGTTTCAAATGTAAAAAAAAAATCTTAACAAATTGCACTGTATAGTCTTAAAGTCTTATATGTTGATCAAATATTTCTCAACATTGAGAAACAGTCACAGAAAAAGTCTTCCTTGACTTAGTTTTATAATTCTTCTTCCTGATGTTTACCATTGTAACTGTGATAGATATATTAAATTACAATACTTCAAATTTTTTAAATGTTATAAAAATTACATGCTGAAGTAACTGAAGTTTAAACTTGTATTTTTTTAAAGCTGCAGCCTTGATAAAAAACAAATCTTTTTCTTGTGACATTTTTGAAGGAGATATTGGATTCTATTGAATCAGAGACCTTCTATTGAATCAGCTATCACATTTGATTGTATTATCCTTCTTGGTTGTTTCCAACAAAATTTACATATTTCCCTTTAATTAATTCAGAAAAAAAGCATTTGTCAAAAAAAAACACTCGCATTGAATATTGGAATATCACAGAACACATGAAATGTTGTTTTTATTTTTTCTTTCAAATTATATTTTTCTTGAAGGAGCAAAAAGTTAGGTTTTAGTTTTCTGTTAAACTCTGCAATAAACTGGCAAGAATGAAATATATCTTTTTTATCTATTGTTTAAAATGTTAAGATTATTTGTTAGATTGTTGTCTGAAGGGTTGTAATCTATTTTGCCAAAGTATTTTGTTCATTCTTTGATTTTTATGTCAGCTGTCTATTTATATGTTTGTTTTTAAATGTAAAATGTTGAGAAAAGTAATTTAAAACTTGCATAACATATTTTGTAAAGATTAAAGAACGAAGTAAACAATTTAAAATTGTGGAGCTATCTTTGAACTTAAGGTGTTAATTTCTATAATGACAGAACTTTTGTGGATCCCTTTTTGCATATTCAATTCAACAGCCCTTAAATATGATCTCCGCAGTTATAGTTTCAACAAAAAGTTATATTCTATCATAAGTAACTATTAGTTTTTATTATATAATCTATAAATAGCTTTGAAATGCCTTTCCCTGATTGGCTAACAAGCAACTTTTTGTAAAAAATAACAGGTCAATATCAGAGTATATTCACTGTTTTTTTCCTAAAAATAGATTTTCAGAGTATATTCACCGGTTTTTCTTCTAAAAATAGATTTTCTGGAAATCCCTAAAAGACACGAGACTTTGACGAGACGTCACGCAAAGTTTGTTGTTATTATTCTGAAAAACGTTGAATGGGGTGTACATAAGAGTCAAATAAGTCTATTTTAGTTACCATTTTTCATTTTTAAGAACAATAGGGATTAGCATGCCAATGGAAAGGGCCAAATTATGGAAACAGTAGACAAGCTGAAAAATAATGATTTCCGTCGTATGCAATGGCAGATGTGATAAGCCATATAAAAGCTATTTATAAAATATATAATAAAACAGATATGTACTTTTTAGCTGTTGAATATGATGTGATATGTAATGAAAAATTAATATTGACCTCGGCTATCGCCTCGGTCAATATTAATTTTTTCAGTACATATCACACCATATTCAACAGCTAAAAAGTCCATATTTGTATAATGTACACATAAATATGTGTTTGTTTCACACATAGAACATGTACAAAGTATGTTAATGTTGTTAAGAATTAATGGTAGAATTTGTATGTTATCTGCATTTGAGCTTGTTGTAACGGTTTACTGATGTAAACAAACAGTAAATAAATTAGCTTACATGGATGAAGGTTTTTAGAATTTATAATATTCAGAAATTTAGGATTTTAATTATAAAGTCAGAAAGGAACAAAAGTACAGAATTTTTCAGGATTACAAAAATATTAACCTTAAATGCTATAAGTATATCTGCTGAAATCTTAAAGTTTAGCTCTGGTTAGATTGCATGACTATGCAGATTGACCTTACTTTATACTGGTAGAAAAGGTGAGAAATTTTCAGTGATTGTGATTGGTTTTGATAATTTAGGTGTAAATGCTAATTCTTTGATGTTTTGAGTAAAAAATTGAGTTTGTATTGTGGATTAAGTGTTTGAAGAAGTATAGTTATATCAGTTTCCCTATGATCTCAGATTAGTACAGTGCTGAAGTTCTTCTTATGAGCTGTTTGTTATGAAGATAGTGAGAAAACAGTTTTTGGCCTATTTTTAGATTTGATAGTTCCCTGCGGGTACAATGGTACTGCATTTTTCATGGCAAATAGTGAAAATAAAGAACTTGATTTTACATCTTTGAATTTTTACATTTCAGTGAAAGTTTCAGTTAATGATTTATGACAGTTATGTTTTAGTTAATCTGCCATGTTTCTAGTTGAAGTTTATTTGCATGTATTTGGAGCATCATGGTATCTCAACCAACAAGGCACCCAAGGGGACACATGATCTGTAAATTCATTACATATATTTGATCATCGTTCAATAAATAGAAACTTTTTGCTTTAACTTCGTGTTTCGGTTTTATGGAAGTTCAACATGTTGATGTTCAATGTTACTTTGTTTTCATAACAGAATTTTTTTTAACCATGTGTAATTTATCAATTGTATTTGGTTTCTTTGTTACTAAAATCAAGCAGAATTCAATTACAATGAGCAATATGAAATTTTTCAGGCCCAAAATTAATTGTCTTTCTCTGCATTTTATTTTTATAAACTATACATTTTAAACAAAAAGAGTAGGAGCATGATTCCAATTGTGACTAACAGAATGAAGAGAACACATTTAAGGAAACAACAGCACCAATTTTCATTGTAGGAGTGTGTATGATTTTTTTTTAATATATAGATACAATAGAAGATTTTAGTTTTTACAAAGTAATTGTGTTTTTAAATGTGCTACACAGGGGTATGGAAGTGCAATGTTTGTTATTTTATCTGTTACCATAGTAACCAGTAGCATATTGTCATTTTGTTACGAATTGAAGTCGATGTGAATCGATAACGTTGGTACAAGATATTTATTCAACTATTTTTGTCATCTTTGTAATGTGTTATATCTGTGTGATGAATTTAACCCTAAACCTGCTGGATTTGTGCAATGGACTTGCCCTGCTGTAAATTTAGAATTGTCCATTTGAATTTTAAGGGATTTCATTTACAAAATACAAAAACTGAGCTGGGAACATTGTAGAGTGTGGTCACACTGCACTTCAGAGTTTTTACTGAATAACTAGCCATAGCCTTCTGACAGCAACTGATGCTTCCCATGGAACCAGTGAAAACCAAGATCAGTCAGAATATCCTTGTGATCAAATCATGGTCTGTACTAATCAGTGTGTAGTTATTTCAAAGTTTTCCCTAAATATGATGAGTGGTTTTGTTTCAATTAAAAGGTGGGGGGAATCCATTTAAGAAATTTAGCAGGTTATTTACAGGGTTTATACAACAATAATTTAACAACTGTCATTTGTAGTTTTATACATATGGCAATGTTAAGAAAGTACAATTTGTTTTCATGTTTTGTTTTATATCTACATGTTAGTGATTACTGGATATAATCTCCCTTTAATGTCACTCCAAAGGTAGTATTGTTATAGGAAGACATTGTTAATTCCCTTTGATAGTGTATTAGTAGAAAAGCTGTCATAATTCTTTTGGATCTGTGTCACATTGTCCTGTCTTGAGAGGATTTTTGTTGTTAAATGTTTGTCTGAAGTTACTTGAAAATAAAAGCACTGCTACAAAAAGAACTGGAGCAGTGACCTAGATGTTGAAGAATTTGCTTCTCAACACGGGCATCATGGGTTCAAGCCCTATACAACCTTGACTGCTTACCCCAGAACTGGTTATAGGGTTTTTTAAGAATTTACTTTATAATTTAAAAATGTTTTTCGATCAAGAATAAATAAACGTATTTATAACCGTTTGTCATTAAAAAAATCATGTTATAGATTTTTTTATAGCATTTTACTTTTATCCAGTTTGAGAAATGTTTTATACCAAGGCTAAGATATTTATGTTGGTTGTTTTATCAACAATTTGTAACTTCTACATATGATCCAAATATATTTTTTTCCTTGAAACTGGACAGTACATGTATTTATTAATATAGTAATCAGAATATGAGCCGCGTCATGACAAAACCAACATAATGTGTTTGCGACCAGCATTGATCCAGACCAGCCTGCGCATCCGCGTAGTCTGATCAGGATCCATACTGTTCGCTGTCAGTTTCTCTACTTGTTATAGAGTAGCGATCAGCATGGATCCTGATCAGACTGCAGGGATGCGCAGACTGGTCTGGATCCATGCTTGTCGCAAACGCACTATGTTGGTTTTGCAGTGACACAGCTCATATGACTGTCTAATGATTTGCCCCTTTCAGTTTAAAGTTTAATTTTATATGTTGAAGAAAGTGCTATTTTTAAGAAAAATTGCAACACATTTTTTCATACTCTTTGATATTATATCAATATTTTTGCAAAGTATTTTTATTTATAGAAATGCAGAAATATTCATCATACATTGTACTTAGTTCTTTTTTGTCTTGTGCATCAAAAATACTGTTATGATTATATGGTAAATAATTTTGGAAGTTTTTTAAACCTCAGGATTTTTATCACCATGGAGTCATCATATTGTGTATATATCTCCATCAAAATGAAATCATGTACATTATTGTAAATATGAACATATGTAAAATTCATGACTAGAGAGACCCATTATTACACTTGTGTATAGTACATTTTGTATAGTATAAAAACTTAATTCATCTTCCAAAAGTGTGTTTGTTTTCTTTTTCTACAAACTGCTCAAGACTTGTTGATTTTCTAGTATGAGTAAAACTTCAATTTTAAATGCTTTTATGAAAATCAGGCAAAGGGAGACACTAAGAGCAATGCAATTAGTAAATGGGAGAAAATTGCAGACTGTTATATTTGTCTGAGAAGTCATGAACGGTGCAACATCTCGAGTTCCTATAAATAGAGAGATTAGAATCCCTTAAGAAAGCCCAGCATGGCAAAATTAAAAATGTTGCAGGCTCAGTTTTATTAAGCTTTTCATGGGCAGTACTGGAAAGTGCATGCTACTGTCCACACTATTGTCTAGCATCGGCTTAAGCAGAAGTATTTTATCTTCAACATTTGAATATCAGTGATCCTGAAGGACTAGAAAAATAAAGCTACCTTAATTACCATGTGCACCAAAATGCTGAACATCTACATCAGTATCCTGTCTCACTTGTCATTTGTTTTGGGGAACACATTGTCAAATACGTCGCTTCATAGAGTTGACGCAACGTTGCAGTAGTACGTTTGGACTACATTCCAACACAAGTGCATTTTGGAATCATTTTTGTATCTACCTGATTTTCATATGGTTAACCGCCTCCGTGGTCGAGGGGTTAGAGTCGATGACTTCTAATCCAGTTACCTCTCTGGCATGGGTTCGATCCCCGGGAGATGCTTTGGTAGTTTAGCGCGGAGGAAGGTAGTCTTGTACTGGTGTAACTCTCCAGGAACGATGGTTAGGAAACTACCCGCCTATATGACTGAAATACTGTTGGGAAAAGGCGTAAAAAAATGAAACAAACAAACAAACATTCATATGGTTCTTTGAGCCCAATTCATCATGTAAGTTTTCTATGGAATTTATGTCCGAGGATAAAGAAGGGCAAGGTAATAAGTTGATATGATACTTTGAGCAAGAAATTGTGTAGTTTCGAGTGCTTTGTGAAGCCTTGACTTAAAATCCAACAATTTCCATCAACAACTGTTATCAAAAAAAAAAGAATCGTAATACTATGTACTTTTTGCAAAAGCTGACACTCCGCTGATACTTAAACTATATTGACAGTAAGACAAAGGACTGAATGCGTTAACTGGTACATAGTTGCTCTTTTTTAGCCCACCAGAACCGAAGGTTCAGGGTGAGCTATTAGTATCAAAGGGGGATGCCCCGTCGTCATGCGTCAACAATCGTCTTCTTCTCTTGAACTTGGCAGATTTACTTTAAATTTGGTCTGTTGCATCCTTGTGACAGTCACACTTGAATTGCCTCATGTCATTTCAATTGGCCCCTTTTAGGGGTCAACAGAGCTAAAAATAGAAAAACCTTCAAACATCTACAGAACTAATTGATGGATGATCACCAAACTTTGTCTGTTAGTCCAGTCATTCTAGCTCAAAATAGAGCCAAACCTCAAACAAATTGCAACAGAAAATATTTTGAGTGTTTTGACACCCCAGACCTATATTGTATAACATATCAAAAGTCTAGAAAAATCTAAATTGGAGAATGTTTTCAAAAATTGAGATCAAATATATGGGTATCATTGTATTTATTTTTTTTAATTTGAACTCAATGTAATACACACATACAATTTTCCAATCAGTTTTATATATAATATGCATAAAAATATAGCTTAATCTATCCCTATAGTAACATAAAGTAATCAAAAAGTTGTTTTTGTTTAAAGAAACTACTTTTACCTTTCTAAAATTTATTAATTAACTTAAGTGGGTGGGGTAATATTATATTTTTACATTGCTGTAGATCAACAATTTATTGAAAGCTCTATGTTATATGATATTAAACAGAAAATACATAATGGTTTACGTACATGTGAAAACTATCAAGTTTCAACGTTTTATAAATTTAATTTACATTCCATCAATATTTAATGCATATATTGAAATATTTATATTAACATTGTACAGCTAGTGGGTGGGGTAATTTTATACAAAAAAAGAAACATTAAGGAAATCTATATTATCTATGATAATAATATTGAGTTTTATATTAACTTGAATACTTTCAAGCACATCTGTTGTATTTTTTTCTGAGTCATTATATAACATCATGACATTGGGTCAAAAGAGGTGACATTGACCTTTTGGAAGGTCAATTTCAAATATTTGATACATTTGAGCATAAAATTTAAAAAAAAAAAAATGCAAATTTTAATTTGTAAAATATCTTCGCTAAGCATAAGCACAAGAATGTCATGACTTTTACAAAGCGTCACTCGCTTCTGTAATTTCTGCTCGACCAATCTTTCACTTTTTATCACTAGATGGTAGCACCTGAAATTCTTCTGGTATATCTTTTCCAGTTCTGAAATTAGAGGAGCATAAACATGTTTGATGGTAAAGAGCATCGGCTACAAGCAAGTCGTGAACCTGTTCTATCCTTGCTCTTACTATATCAGACAAACAGTGTCATTCCTCTGTATACATATATTCAAGTGTCCTTACTGGCGAAACATCACACTTCCTTGTTTTACCCTTACTTATTACAGATTGACCACAATATAAACAATCTTTTTTGTATGAAAACTTATCAGTCATTGATCTCAATGGTGGCATCAGTGTTTTCTTTTTCTGTCTTAGTGTCTCTTTTAGTGTAATGTGGGTTACAGTACATCTTTCTACACTCAATGTGAATATATTATTCCGATTCAACTTTTAAACTGTCATTTTATTTCTCACTGGCAGCATTTATTCCCTTGCATTCCTTTTCGTTGCCTTTAACTGTCTTTGTATGATCATCAAACAGCCGTTAACAAATCCGACAGGAGTTCATCTTGAAAAAAACAAAAACAAAAAAACAACAATAACTGATATTGTAAGATTTATAAAATCTGTTTTTTACAGTATATGGAGGTTGATCCAGAATTACCCAAAATTTGTTTATAATTCTGATAACTTTTTTATGTTTTCTTCATTAAATTTATAAATGCGCAAAGATCGATGTTTCTTCTATTTAATTGCCAAATATAATTGATTATAAACATCCAGTACCGTCTCAGGCCGCCTTAAATAACCCTGGATACGCCACAGCAGCGCAACTCAAAGAACACGACATTCGTTGAAATTTATAAAACACCAAAGTGCCCGACACAAAAAGGGATCATGTCCAATATTTGCCGAAGGTTAATGTAAAGCCTGCTAAAATTTCACGTCGTTTGTATTATTGTGTAATCATTTGTTATTTCAACGTTTATTTATGCAAAAACGTCTTCATTAAGGCGTCGGAAAACGGCACTTTCATAAACATTTGTCAACTGTTTAGACAGCCTACCATAGAAACATCTAATATGATAAAAGAAATTCGACACAAGTATTTTGTTAGTCATGCATACAAAACTTTTTGAGGGGTAAAGAAGTTTTTTTACCAGACTGTTGGAGTAATTTTAGAGATAAATACATATCGTTTGCGGCATAGAAGAATTCGCGTAAAGTTAACGTTCTCCGTCGCTGTGGCGATTGAAAAATACAAATATGCTGTCATATGCGGCCTTGCACAATTTCAATGCGATTTAAAAAAATTAATTCTAATTGACAATTATGTGCTGTTTTTCATACTTTATTTGTTTTCTTTTACATGCACTTTTTATCTAATTAAATTAAATGAATCATATATTTTATGCCTTCAACTTTAAGATGATCATGTGTATGAATCACAGCAATCAAAGCAATTAGCAGTTCAATAGTCATAGGTTTAGGTTGTTAGTACACTTACAGTGAATGGCATCGGGAGGACAACCTTTTTAGCATAATGTGACAAATCCTATGTTTGCTTATATGGTAGGCATACTGTGTTTAATTATCATATTCTTGTTTCCTTGTAAAGAGGATATATTACGCAGTAATAAAGTGTTTGTTATATGAACTTTGAAATTGAATTTATTGTTAAAATTACGGGTATTTCTGGATCATCCCTTGCATTCTTGTATTCTGGTTATTGGTAGCTGATTACGTATTGTTTCAGTTATCCCAGAACAGTACGTGTTATTATAAGATGTATTTTTCCTAAAAGGCTTTCCTTAAAATGTTTTAGGTGTATTTATTTGATCAAAGTTGCTGATATGACACACTTTTCTTGCATATCAGACTGGCGTTTCCGTTTGTATTACCCATGCCGGAAATTTTATCTGGCATAGGGGGTGCCAGATGAGTCGCGTGCTGTACAATGTCACGCTTAGGATGACGTAATTTTACCGTTATGAATGAAGTTGTAATTTCATACGCTGTTGCAGTTTCGGTTGCAATGGCATAAATTCCCATTGAAAATTAAGATAAAGAATTCAAAATATAATGTTATATCGTAAAATATGCAAGAAAAAATATCTGACATATGTTTGCGGTTCGGATCGGAATATCCGTCCCTCGGTAACCCGCCCATGTGCGGTAACTCGGCAAGCGTCGTTACCGCCCAATGGGCGGGTCACCTCGGGACGGATATTCCGATCCGAACCGCAACATATGACAGATATTATTATTATTTTCTAAGGTTTTAATCTAAAATTATAAATATAAAATACCTACTGGTTAAAGTGTTTGGAAGTAACGTAAAGATAAAGTTTAAAAATGTCACCTTTCAATTTTAAGCATTTCTAATGCCCATCCGTGCATGCATTCAAAAATATTTGTACTGATATGTTACTATATGGAACTTATGACACACTTTAAAAGTTTGCTTATATGAAAAATATCATTAAAGTGATTTTGTGAAACAAATGTCTCAACTATGCATCTTTACCTTTAACTCGTATACATCACAGTGTCCTCAGAACACATGATCGGGCATACCCATTGGCTCTGGTGTGTTGATGAAATCTGTAACATTACTTCATGAAATTACTTCAAGCTTGAAAGGATTAGAATCTTATTTTCATATTTACGTGAAATAAGGTTCTATAGAATACACAGATGTTTTTATTGTTACATGTATTTGCTTAAATTTTGATTTTAAAAGTGATAAAATTATACTATAGTCAACTTTGGTGTGCATTCCGATAGAAATACTAATATATCGCGGTGAATTAATCTTATACACGTAATGCACTTTTTCAAATTCGCGCAGGTGCTATTGTGCATAAAAGATTTTCTTTTAAATTATGGATCAACTGTGCATGTTTACCTTGAACTCATACACGTCGCCAATCATGAACCATAACTAGAAATCACGTTTGTTTATTGATAAATTTTTCATGTCACCTTTTCATGTATAAATTTCTTCTATGTCTATTAAAAACTGAAAATAATTTCAGATATATTGAATTATGCATACGACTCTATTTCCTCCATGTTTAATATTCACTTAAACTTACTAGTAAAAGATAATGTTTGATATTTGTGTTATATATGTAAAAATATTACAAATGTAAGCACAGGAAAGCAAACTTACTCATTTAGTGTACATATAGTTTACTGGATTTTTTTTATTTTCAAAATCAAGCATACATCAATGAAGACTACCTCAAAGCGGTACCCCTGAAATAATAATAACATTACATACATTATATATGTAAAACAATTTTAAAAAAACTATTAAAAAATACAAAAAAAACCCAACCTTGAATTCAAATTTAACAATAAAACATGATTAAAGTATTCAGACTTTATTTAACGTAATTCGTCATAATTAACGTGATAATGGCGTTCCATAGTTTAAAATACTGTCGAAATTAACTTGTTATAAATACACATTTTTAGGCCGTTTTTGAATGTTTACTAAGACAGGAGTTAATCAGAGTTGTAATTTATATAAATTAAACTGTTTTCCATGAAAAGTATAATACAGATCACTTGAAACACCTGTTGACCTTCAACGGATAAAGAACTGGTAAAACAAGTAATAATCTTCAACAAATACTCATAATAAACTTACGACCCCACATTAATAATTCCTATTATGATCTGTAATATTTTAAGGAAAATATACCAACCCACTTTACAGTGTACTTTACTGACATTAATTTTGTTTACACATATTTTGTTGTTGTTGTCACCATTATGCAGTCGCTATTCTGAGTATCGGAGACGCTTTGTTCGCCTATGGAAGACCGTTGTCGTCAGAAAAAAATCACAAAAAATAACGCGATAAAAACCCGTTTTTTTTCAATGTTGCGCAACTTAGATTTTGCTAGACTTTTGATATGATTCATGTTATTCCATTTACTTTCTATACCAGGTAAAATATTTTCTGTTGCAATTTGTTTGAGGTCGATTTACAGACTGACTGGACTATGTAGCATTCTTTGGTAGTCTTTTATCAAGTTTGCTTATATCAATTTGTTTGGACCCTTTTAGGGGCCGCTAAAGCTAAAAGTAGAAATACCTTTAAATGTCTATTTTTACAGAACTAATTGATGGATGATCACCAAACTTTGTCTGTAGCATTCTTGAGTAGTCTTTTATCAAGTTTGCTCATATTAATTTGATTGGTCCCTTTTAGGGGCCGCTAAAGCTAAAAATAGAAATACCTATAAACGTCTATTTCTACAGAACTAATTGATGGATGATCACCAAACTTGTGTTTTTTACGTACGCGTACATATTAATATGGACGTAATCACGAAAAACGGACCGCACACACGGAGCTCTCACGGACGATTAACTTTGGCTAGGGCTTGGAGACATACATTTCTGTGAAAGGGACCCTTCACACTTGTACAAAATCGAATCCGCAACGGAATCGGACGGATGGTGTCGAAGCAGTGGCTGTGGGCGCCTTGTGTTTTTTTTACGTACGCTTACATATTAATATGGACGTAACAACGAAAAACGGACCGCACGCACGGAGCTCTCACTGACGATTTACTAGGGCTAGGGCTTGGAGACATACATTTCTGTGAAGGGGACCCCTCACACTTGTACAAAATCGAATCTGCAACGGAATCGGACGGAGGGTGTCGGTCGCCTTGTGTTTTTTTTACGTACGCTTACATATAAATATGGACATAACAACGAAAAACGTACCGCACGCAAGGAGCTCTCACGGACGATTTACTTGGGCTAGGGCTTGGTGACATACATTTCTGTGAAGGGGACCCCTCACACTTGTACAAAATCGAATCTGCAACGGAATCGGACGGAGGGTGTCGGTCGCCTTGTGTTTTTTTTACGTACGCTTACATATAAATATGGACATAACAACGAAAAACGGACCACACGCAAGGAGCTCTCACGGACGATTTACTTGAGCTAGGGCTTGGTGACATACATTTCTGTGAAGGGGACCCCTCACACTTGTACAAAATCGAATCTGCAACGGAATCGGACGGATGGTGTCGGTCGCCTTGTGTTTTTTTTTACGTACGCTTACATATAAATATGGACATAACAACGAAAAACGTACCGAACGCAAGGAGCTCTCACGGACGATTAACTTGGGCTTGGGGACATACATTTATGTGAAGGGGACCCTTCACACTTGTACAAAATCGAATCCGCAATGGAATCGGGTGGATGGTGTCGAAGCAGTGGCTGTGGGCGCTTTGTGTTTTTTGAGTGAGACTAAAAAAAGGATTGGAGCACCACACTAAATACCGTATTCCGGTATATACCGGGTAAGGCGCCTGAATCATAAAATGCTAAAATCTTGCCTTTTTAACCAACGGAATGAACTTTAATAGGTCTAATTCATCTTTTTCACACCGATTTATGTATGATAATGAATGAAAAATGTAAAAATCGGCGAAAAAACGATATAAATTTGTCTTTTTTGCGATCATGATTTCTAGAGCAAGCGTCTAGAGGTACTGCTCCAATCCTGTATTGAGTTAAATCCGTGTTTTTTTTTACGTACGCTTACATATTTATATGGACGTAACAACGAAAAACGGACCGCACGCACGGAGCTCTCACGGACGATTTACTTGAGCTAGGGCTTGGAGACATACATTTCTGAAAAGGGGACCCCTCACACTTGTACAAAATCGAATCTGCAACAGAATCGGACGGATGGTGTCGAAGCAGTGGCTGTGGGCGCCTTGTGTTTTTTTACGTACGCTTACAAATTAATATGGACGTAACAACGAAAACTGACCGCACGCAGAGAGCTCTAACGGACGATTTACTTGGGCTTCCTATGCCACGATGAACTTCCTAAGCACCCAGTGGCTGTTCGTGACTATCAGTGACTTCTTACAGCAACCAATGACTTCCCTTAGCAATCCCTGACTTTCCACAACAGCCATAACCTCTCCATATCGACCGCTGGATTTCCATAGCAACCAGTGAACCACCTTAGCAACCAATGACTTCCATAGCAACCATTGACTTTCCCTAGCAACCAATGACTTCCATAGCAACCAGTGACTCTTCTTAGCGACCACGGACTACCGTTGGAACCACTGACTCCCCACAGCAACCAGTGTCTCGCAAAGCAAGCAGTGACTTCCCATGGCCACCATGGACTTCCTAAGCACCCAGTGACTATCCGTGACTATCATAGACTTCCCACAGCAACCAATGAATTCCCCTATCGACCCCTGACTTTCCACAACAGCCATGACCTCTCCATAGCGACCGCTGGATTTCCATAGCAACCAATGAACCACCTTAGCAACCAATGACTTCCATAGCAACCATGGACTTTCCCTAGCAACCCATGACTTTCATAGCAACCTGTGACTCTTCTTAGCGACGACGGACTACTGTTGAAACCACTGACTCCCCACAGCAACCAGTGTCTCGAATAGCATGCAGTGACTTCCCATGGCCAACATGGACTTCCTAAGCACACAGTGGCTGTCCGTTACTATCAGTGACTTCCCGAAGCAACCAATGACTTTCCCTTGCGACCGCTGACTTTCCACAACAGCCATAACCTCTCCATAGCGACCGCTGGCTTTCCATAGCAACCAGTGAACCACCTTAGCAACCAATGACTTCCATAGCAACCAATGACTTCCATAGCAAACAGTGACTCTTCTTAGCGACCACGGCCTACCGTTGGAGCCACTGACTCCCCACAGCAACCAGTGTCTCGAATAGCAAGCAGTGACTTCCCATGGCCACCATGGACTTCCTAGACACCCAGTGACTGTTCACGACTACACAGCAACCAATGACTTCCCCTAGCGACTGCTGACATTCCACAACAGCCATAACCTCTCCTTAGCGACCGCTGGCTTTCCATAGCAACCAGTAAACCACCTTAGCAACCAATGATTTCCATAGCAACCATTGACTTTCCCTAACGTTTTTTTTCCACATATTTTTCTTGTAGGAGCTGTATATTTTTGCCTTATAACCTCCTCGTTCTCTTTACCATGCTCAACATGCATCTTTGCCAGGTTTTACTTACCTTAGCGTGATCGAAGAAGACACAAGATTTCGTTACGTGTAAACCCATCAAAAAGTACTGGCGGATCAGATCAGTTATTGCAGAAAAATGACAACTAGATTAAGCACATTTTATTAAAAAGGAGAAGAAAACCGTCCGGTACATGGTCTTGGGAATCAGCATTATTGTTTTTGCTTCTGTATCAATCCTATACACTGTAAATTAATAACATTAACCGTGTTGTCAAAAAAGAGCTTTACCTGGAAGCCGTTCGAAAATTAAGTTATAATAATTGTATTATATTGTTTATTTTGTTTTATTTATTGAATATCATAATACTTTCTTATAGGGTTTGACAACAAATTGTAGGTCCGCCTATAAAATGTTTCAATTAGACTTTCATTAATATCAAGAGGAATTTCTGAAACTACATTAATTCAGACAGTTATACCTTTTTCAAGGTTTCTAAATTGTTTTTATGTAATTGATTGATAAGTTATTTGTCTATACGTCAAAGAATGACGCCATTTATTTTTTATTTAACACTAAATTCTAGTTTATGTGACAATAAAGATGGTAATCTTTCAGTTGAATCAGAAATTTCTAAATGGTTTTCACATTAATCTTAATTTTAGACAACGTTATACTGCTATGATTAAGATGTATGGATCGAATTTTATTTCGTTTTTAAATTGAACTGATTGAAACGGGCGGATTGAAACATACATTTTGGCTCACCTAAGCATTGGGGGCTGTCCGTTGTGTGTATGCGCGACAGCATTCACGTTTATTCTTATGATTTCAATTTATTAAGAAGTTGCATGTACATTGTAACAGTCCCATAAGTGACGATAAGCATCGATTCTTTTGTTATTATGTGTACATGTACCTTGTTTCATATAAAATTATTTATATATTTCTTATAGTCTTACATTTCTTATATTTCGTTGGTCTTTTGCTACTTCAGCCTAATATTTGGAATAACTCCATTGATATTTATAATAATATAGTCTATAACCATCGGAAAAAAGAACGGCATTTGAAAATATTTAAATAAGCTAAAATGAAAGCAGATTGTCGTGTTGGTAGAAGTTTTACAGCATTAAATGTTATGATAATAATTATGATATTCCCGATATGAACAAGCAGTCCAAAGTCAGTTATATTTGATAAAAAATGTCGTATGAAATGGGTCTTCAGAACATATGTTGATGAAAATGCTCCTAGATTACATACCAAATGGCTGTTAAATAGCAGTTAATCACCGCTCAGGCCGATATTTTAAAAAAAAATAAACAACTGAAGTTCAATATGTATGACCATATCACTATTATAAGAAAGTATTCGTTACCGCAACTGCCCTCGAAAGGTCATCCATCATAAGGGCAGGCTATTTGCTAGAGCAACATGTATTATGCTCTAGCATAGTCTTTACATATATTTTGTACATGTTTAAAGTTGTTGTTGTTGTTAATAATATACCATGATCCGTTAGGGTCAACAGCAAATTAGACGATTATTTATACAATCATCATCTTGTTACTTAAGGGTTATACAATAATGTATTTCCTACTTAAGATTATTGTCTTTTCTATTACAAAACACATATTTATGAATTTTCCAAGTTTAACTTACATTACCATGCATGTTATGTGGTACAAAAAAGTTAGACATTGTTTGTTCGAGTTGTTTTTTCTTGATATTGATATAGAAATATATTCATTGTATTTTTTGTGCACTGTTTTGCCTTTCTTTAGGCGTCTATTATAATATTTAATTAATTGAGCGTTCTGTCTTCATTGACAGCTCTTGCATTGTTCAATGTCCTTGAACAGAAGTATTTAATTGATTTACTATTTTCTGTTCTATTTACTTATTTAAAGACACTGTAACACAAATTATTATGGTTTTATATCATAAATATGATGCTCAAATTAAGATTTATAAATAT